TTCTCCTCTATGGAAGTCACTCTTATATCTCCGAAATAGAATGATCTCTCTTTGTGGTGGGGTGGCCCCGACTCAACAGTTGCTCTCCAGCTGGCAATCCGGTTCCAACCCTTTTACAGCCAATGCATATGATTTTTTTAGGCACAAAGCTGATCCTGTCTATTGGGCTTCTGTTGTCTGAGAACAATGGTCCCTTCCAAGACATAGTTTCTGCTTATGGCTGGCAATGTTGGGCAAACTTCGAACAAGAGACCGTCTCCAATTCCTCTCCTCAGATCTTATATGTCCTCTTTGTTTGAATGCAGATGAATCTCATGCCCATCTCTTTTTCAGTTGTGACTGGTCGTCCTTGCTATGGAGAAAAGCCACATTCTGGCTCCAGTTTCACACTAATATACCCTCCTTACCTAGAGCCACTCAGGTCCTACAAAATAATAAAAAAGGTCTTCAAGCAAGAATGAGAAGAGTTTCTCTTGCTATTCTTGTTTATCTAATTTGGGAGGAACGAAATAGGCGAATCTTTAACAACGCTGGAAAATCTGTGGAGGCTATTCTCAGGAAGTTTCAGATATTGTTTTACACCGTTCTGTATTTCCATGAAAAAAAACCCCTAGCCTATAGTGTTGCTCGTTGAATGATATATTTGGATGTGCATGCCCTGCATGATTCTCCGGTCCCTTCTCTGTTGAGCCTCTGTTCTGCATGGGGTAGATTATAGTTTGTTGGCTTGGGATGGTTGATGGGTTATTTCCCCTGCATGGTTTGAGCAGTTTCTGCAAAGTTTTCCTTGCTTTGCATGGTTGTGATGTCGTCTTGTGGTTGTTTTCTTTGTGTTGGCTAGTCGCGGCTGGCTGAAAATTTCCATGTGCATGGGTTTTTGCATGGTCCCTCGTCTCCACGTTGATGAGCCTCTGCCTCCCGCCCTTTGCTGCCTGGGCATGGTTGTGGTCTTGGCTGTTTGGACGAGTGCTATTGGCCAATGCCTTTCACCAGTGAACTATAAATATTATGGAGTTCTAGGAACACTGTTCATTCAGCTTCTCCTTCCTTTTGCATGTGCATGCAGGAATCCTAAGTAGAATGCTTTCATGGATCTAAGCTGCATGAATGAACCCTTTGTAGTATGCATTACTATTGATGGGAGGGAGCCCCTTTGATTGATTATTCTCTTCGCTGGTGTGCTGAATCAAGTCATATGCATGTGTTCTGATTGGCTGCAGCTACCGTGTACTGGACTCTCATGATTCCTCATTTCTGCATGGGTGGAGCAGTTGTCACATGATCCTTCATTTAATATGGTCGAGTGGGAGCTTCTGATTGGGTTTCAGCTGCTAACAACTTTCTTTGGCTTATTGATTGTGCATCAAAAGTGTCATTAAGTCTCTTATTTTACATATGTATTTATTGTTTTTATTTGGTTGTTTTTATAATAATTGATGTGTTTTTTAGTAATGAAGTTTGTTTTAATGTTTCGATAGGTTTTTGGAGCTTAAATGAATTAATTCAGAAAATTCAACGTCGGAATTCAGAACAAAGAATTGAAGAGACATTTAGTTGAAGATTGAAGCAAATCTTGGTTCAAATAAGTGCTCCAAATTTGTCCCAAAAATCAGTTCTATTCCAATTCTAGAAAAGAATATCATATGATTTATTTCAAGCCCAAACTTGCCTTATGTTGTGTGCAAACTTCAACCATTAAACACTCAAGGTTTCAATGTCAATCTTAGCCCAAATAATAAGTACATTTGTATACTTATTTGATGCTCAAATTCAGCCCAAATTCAGCCCCAAATCAGCCCTAAATCAACCCCAAATCAACCCAAACACAATCCATGATCTTACATGTCCACACAACAAATAACAATTGATTTATTTTGGGTAATCCATTGATCCAAGAAGGCAAGCACATGGATGGAAAGTTGGAGGGGATATTTTAACATTATTTTGGGTCAAAAAGAAGAAGGAGACACCTCATAAATGAGGAAGAAAAACGTGCACCAAAGTAGTTGTAAAGCTGTCTTGATTTGATTTTTCAGAACACCGTTTGGTGTTTTGCCCATAACTTTTGACTCAGGTGTCCAAATGAGCTGTTCTTTAATGATCTGGAAAGGTGATAGAATTTCCTATAAATATGTCTCTAATAGACTTCTCGAAACAAAGCTTCTAAGAGGGTCGAATTTCTGTCCAAAGTTAGAGTCAGATTTGTGTCCGAATTTTTTCTGAAATTGTATTGTGTTCTTCTTTATAGATTTCGGTTCTTTAGTTTGTAAAACTTATTATTTCAGTTGGATTCAAGTTCTTTCATGTTTATTGAAGTGTTCTTATATATAATCATGGTTGGCTAAACTCTTTCTTGGATCCAAATCAAGGATAATGGTGATTGAGGTGAGTTCTTTAGGATATGAATGAATCTTAATGTTTATCTTCTTATTTTCTTCATGAATGATTTATTATTGTAAAGAAATTTTAGAAATCATTTAGGTAATGTTATAATCTTGAATTTTTATGCACAAACTTTAGTTTTGGTATAGAGATTGCTTGATTCAATGTCTTACTTAATATGAAAGTACTTGTTCATTCTTAAGCAATAATCAATCTTCATCTTTCTAATCTTCATTGTAATATCTTCCGTTCTAATATCACCATTGTTGATATTAGGTTGAGTTATCTTATATATGTTGAAGAAATCACCAATACATCACCATTAAAATTGATTTGGACCAAGACTTACTTTTTCTTGTCATTTAAAATCTATTTACATTTTTTTTTTATCTTTAAAAGCAAATCCATCAATTATTTTCAACCAAGTTATTGTTAATTTAATTTCTCTTGAGTTTTTTTTGTTACTTAGCTTAATTTCCAGATCTAGCTCTCTGCGGATATGACCTCGATCTTACCGAGTTAATTGCTACATCGCACACTCGTGCACTTGCGAGTTAAAACAAGCCGATCATAAAAAGTGGTCAAGCACTTATCCTATGTTTTCTGGCTGATCTTTAGACATTTGTCCTCATTTTCTCACGTTCGCTGCCCCCTATTCTTGGCTGCTACTGTTTTAATATGTTCTGGTTGGCTCCTGCCTAGGCTGTCCTTATCTCTGCATGAGCTTGCCTCCGTTTCCACACTTGTTTTACCTTTGAGCTCTTGATGTGATGATGAAAAGGCTCTTCCTCCATGTGCATGTGGCCTTTTCCTTGGTAATTCAGTTGTTGGCCGACATTTTTGAATTGATTATGGCTCATGTCTCTAGATGTGATGATGAAAGGGCCCTACCTCCACGTGCATGTGGTTTTATTTGCTTGGTAATTCAGTTGTTGGCCGGCTTTCTTGAATTCCATCCTATGCTTCTTGGCCGATTCTAAGCCATATGTCTGCTTTCTCTTGAGTTTCTCTATTCATTGTATATGCATGCATGGTTGTGATGCTGCCACCTGTTTCTTGGTTGCTGCGCTGTCTCCTTCTCCTCCAGGATGGTCCCCTTCGTCTCTGCATGGATGGCTAGTAATTGTCTCCATGGCTAGTTTTGTCTCTATCTGGATGGTAGAATAATTATCTAGATGGTAGAACATCCATCATTCACGCCATCCTCGAGCTCAGCGGAACGCACCGGCCAAATCGGCAAGGCCTCCAACTTGTAAGCACGGGCAGCGGCCACCGTCACCGTGACTTCACGGCAAGCAGGCGGGCATGCAGCAGCTGCCAGCACCTTGGCACGAGCACAGCAAATGAATGCCACGCCAACACCGCGGATAAGCAGCCCCAACGCGCCCGAGGGCTTGCAGCGGGTCCAGGGGACGGTGGCTAGAATCGAAGGGGCAGGCAACGCGCCGCGGGGGGACGCGGAGGATCTCGAAGGGACAGGCAACAGGCCGCGGGGGGACGCGACAGGGAAGATCATGGGGGGGGCTCTGCCTTAGCTCGGAAGACGAAGGACAGGCCTCGGCAGCAAGCACGTCACGCCACGAGGTCAGGGATGGCAAGGACAGCCCGCTCATGGGCGCGCGCGCAGCAATTTAATGCCACGCCCACGCTAGCGTAGAGCTCTCCCCGCCATCCTCGAGCTCAGCAGAACGCACCGGCCACATCGGCAAGGCCTCCAACTTGCGAGCACGGGCAGCGGCCACCGCCCCCGTGATATCGCGGCAAGTAGACGGGCGCGCAGAGGCTGCCAGCACCTTGGCATGAGCACGGCAAATGAATGCCACGCCCAAGCCGCGGATATGCCAGCCCCAACGCGCTCGAGGGCTTGCAGCAGGTCCAGGGACGGTGGCTAGAATCGGGTCGTCACCGGGATCTTGAAGGGACAAGCAACGGGTCGCGGGGGGGACGCGGAGGATCTCGAAGGGACAGGCAACGGGCCGCGCGGGGACACGACAGGGACGATCATGTGGGGGGCCGTATGCCTCAGCTCGGCGGTCCGCATAGGACACGTCGGCCAGGCCTCCCACTTCCGAGAACGGGCTACGGCCACCGCTGCCGTGACGTCGCGGCAAGCAAACGGGCGCGCAGCGGCTGCCAGCACCTTGGCACGAGCACGATAAATGAATGCCACGCCCCCGTCGTGGGTAAGCAGCCCCAACGCGCCCGAGGGCTTGGAGCGAGTCCCGGGAACAGTGGCCGAAATCGGGTCGTCGCCGGCTGGAAAACGGGTCATCGATGCCGGCAATACTTCGGGCCATAAGGCCCCCCACCTTAGATCGATAGTAGCAGCAGCGCACAAAATCCCCCGCGGCAGGCCTATGGGCGCCAGGCCAGTACGCCCCATGGCCAGTCACGCCAGGCCAGCGCGCCCCATGGCCAGTCAGGGGGCACCCCCCTAAAGAGCTATAAGTGTTATTGCAGCTCTGGCAGGGGGAGACACTACTAGGTCCCAGTTGTCAGCCCCCCTCTAAAAAATTCATTTCTTGGTATTTTGAGCTGAAATTTTGCACAGAGGTTGGAAAAAATCCAATCCAACTTTATTAATTTTTCCAGAATTTTTCAAGGTCGGGAAGTATTTGTTTTAATTTCCCGACCATTAAAAATCGAGGAAATCCGCAAAAATAGGAACCGGCCCGGAATGACCCCAAATTTGGTGGGCAGCCTCAGAAAAATATGTCTGATTTTACTAGATAGATTTCATGTGGAAAGCATGACGTTTTCTTGGCGGAATGCGGGAACCCCGACAGCTCGCCTACCGCGACCAGTGGCGTCGGGCTGGCCCCAGCAGTGCCTAGCCTCTCTCCCGCAGGGGGCAGGCCCGAACGCGAAGCGCCTAGCCTCTCTCCCACAGGGGGCAAGCTAGAACGCGGAGCGCCTAGCCTCTCCCGCGCGGGGAGCAGGCCAGAACGCCTTGCGCCAAGCCTCTCTCCCGCGGGGAGGGCAGCAAGCCAGCAGGGGCTGTCCCCGCGACGCGCAGCTCCTAGCCTCTCCCCCGCAGGAGGCAGGCCAGAACGCAGGGCGCCCGGGCCCGAAGGCAGCCCCCTGCGGGGAAGGCAGCAAACCAGCAGGGGCTGTCCCCGCAGCGCGGGCTGCGGGGACGTGCACGCGCGCCCAAGTGCCCCAGGCCCTCAGGCCCCAGCGCCCCAGCGCCTAGCGCGGACGCGGGAGTGGGCGGGCGCGCGCGCGTGGTGGTTTTTTAAAGGGTCATCGATGCCAGGAATACATCGGTCCATGAGGCCCCTCACCTTAGTCCGACAGCGGCAGCAGCCCGCAAATCCTCTACGGCAGGCCAGCGCTCCCCATGGCCAGTCGCAAATCCCCCGCGGCAGGCCTATGGGCGCCAGGCCAGCGCGCCCCATGGCCAGTCAGGGGGCACCCCCCTAAAGAGCTATAAGTGTTATTGCAGCTCTGGCAGGGGGAGACACTACTAGGTCCCAGTTGTCAGCCCCCCTCTAAAAAATTCATTTCTTGGTATTTTGAGCTGAAATTTTGCACAGAGGTTGGAAAAAATCCAATCCAACTTTATTAATTTTTCCAGAATTTTTCAAGGCCGGGAAGTATTTTTTTTAATTTCCCGACCATTACAAATCGAGGAAATCCGCAAAAAAGAGGAACCGGCCCGGAATGGCCCCAAATTCGATGGGCAGCCTCGGAAAAATATGGCTGATTTTACTGGATTGATTTCATGTGGGAAGCACAACCCATGACTTGCCAAGTTCGGACCCATGACTTGCCCAAGCCGTTGCGCGTTGCTGAATTGGCATGGTCGTGGAGGCTGCCGTTGTCCGCGGCAGACCCCGTTTTCATCAGCCTGACACCTCGAATCGGCACGGCGTCCAGCCCATGTTCGTCAAACAATCTGCCACCGCCCTAGTTTCTGGACCAGCCCTCATTTTCATCAAGCCTTGGG